CAGCAAACATGTGGAAGAAGGTGCTCTGGTCAGATGAAATCAAAATTTAACTTTTTAGCCTAAAAGAAAAATGCTATGTGTGGTGGAAAACTAATAATGCACAGCACTCTGAACTCACCATCCCCACCATGAAATATGGTGGCGGCAGCATCATGTTGTGGGGATGCTTTTGTTCAGCAGGATCAGGGAAGCTGGTCAGAGTTGACAGGAAGATTGATGGAGCCAAATATAGGGCATTCTTAGAAGAAAACCTGTTAGAGTCTGCAAAAGACTTGAGACTGAGGTGTAGGTTCACCTTCCAGCAGGACAATGACCCTGAAACACACAGCCAGAGCTACAATGGAATGGTTTAGATTAAAGCATATTCATGTGTTAGAATGGCCCAGTCAAAGTCCAGACCTAAATTCAATTGATTATCTGTGGCAAGGCTTGAAAATTGCTCTTCAAAGACGCTCTCCATCCAATCTGACAGAGCTTGAGCTATTTTGCAAAGAAGAATGGGCAAAAATTTCACTCTCTAGATTTTCAAAGCTGGTAGAGACATACCCAAAAAGACTTGTAGCTGTAACTGCAGTGAAAGGTGGTTCTACAAAGTATTGACTCAGGGGGGCTGAATACAAATGCATGCCACACTTTTCACATATTTATTTGTATAACATTTTTAAAAAAATTTATCATTTTCCTTCTACTTCACAATTATGTGCCACTTTGTGTTCATCTATCACATAAAATATCAATAAATACATGTACATTTTTGGTTGTAACATTACAAAATGTGGAAAATTTCAAGGGGTATGAATACTTTTTCAAGGCACTGTATTTTTGTTATTGTATTAAACAAGGAAATTTACTAATTAGCCACTGGTGACAGAGTAAATATGCTACTACAGTGACTCTGCCTAACTACTTAAAGTGGCAGTAAAGACCCTTTAAAGATAAATCTCTTCCCTCTGCAAATTAGGAGCATAATGTGCTAATTTACATTGCATACAAGCACATTATGACAGACTTTCCTTAAAATGAAGCCCTACAGCATGGCGCTTCCATCTTCACTCGGGTCTTCCTTCTGGGTTTGCAGGCTCCAGCTGTTTGGATGGCTAAGCCATGATGATGTCACTCCAGGGCATGCACATGGGGGTCGCAGCACAGAGCTTTGAGGGGACAGTATGTGCGGGTGAGGTCAGTGGCTGCAGAAGTAGTGAATATCTCCTAAACGGTGCACTTTTGGGAGATATTCCTTGTACAAACAGGTAAGAAGCTTACCTGTAGCATCAAGTGAGCTAGTGGTGCTTACTTCCACTTTAAAGTGGTCCTAGCACCAGATATATATTTTTCATGTAAAGTGCATGCATACTAGATAATGTGTAAATATACACTTTTAAATACACTATATTGCCAAAAGTGTTGGGACGCCTGCCTTTACACACGCAGGAACTTTAATGGAATCCAAGTCAATAGGGTTCAATATTGAGTTGGCCCACCCTTTGCAGCTATAAAAGCTTCACCTCTTCTGGGAAGGCTGTCCACAAGGTTTAGGAGTGTGCTTATGGGAATCCTTGACCATTCTTCTGGAATTGCATTTTTGTGGTCAGGTACTGATGTTGGATGAGAAGACCTGGCTCACAGTCTCTGCTCTGATTCATCCCAGTGGTGTTCTGTCTGGCTGTGGTCAGGACTCTGTGCAGGCCAGTCACCCCAAACTCACTCATCCATGTCTTTATGGACCTTGCTATGTGTACTGGTGCGCAGTCATGTTGAAAGAGGAAGGGGCCATCCCCAAACTGTTCCCACAAAGTTGGGAGCATGAAATTGTCCAAAATGCCTTGTTATGTGGACACCTTAAGAGTTCCCTTTACTGGAACTAAGGGGCCAAGCCCAACCCTGAAACAAAAAACCCAACACCAAAATCCCCCCTCCACCAAACATTACTCTTGGCACAATGCAGTCAGACAAGTACCGTTCTCCTGGCAACTGCAAAACCCAGACACATCCATCGGATTGCCAGACAGAGAAGTGGGAGTTGTCACTCCAGAAAACACGTCTCCACTGCTCTAGAGTCCAGTGGCAGCATACTTTACACCACTGCATCCAACACTTTGCATTGCACTTGGTGATGTAAGGCTTGAATGCAGCTGCTTGGCCATGGAAACCCATTCCATGAAGCTCTCTACGCACTGTTGTTGTGCTAATCTGAAGTTTAGAGATCTTTAGCTATTGACTCTGCAGACAGTTCATGACTTCTGTGTACTGTGCGCAGCATGTACTGACCCCGCTCTGTCATTTTACATGGCCTGCTGTTTGTTCCCTGTTGCTTCCACTTTGTTATAATACCACGAACAATTGACCATGGAATATTTAGTAGCAAGGAAACTTCCCAGATGGACATATTGCACAGGTGGTACCCTATCATGATACCATGCCATGCTTGAATTTACTGAGCTTCTGATAGCAACCCATTCTTTCACAAATGTTTGTAGCAGTCTGCATGCCTAGGTGCTTGATTTTATATACCTGTGGCCATGGAGGTGAGTGGAACACCTGAATCCAATGATTTGGGAGGGGTGTCCCAATACTTTTGGCAATATAGTGTATTTATTACCTCTCACAGAGATTATAGCTTTTCCCCTGACAGTGCCTTCATCTGCTTTTCTGTTAAAGAAAGAGACAACATTATTCAGGCATCATTCATGATCAGTTTCTATGCCTTGGTCTGAGATGCTGGCTCAGAGATTACACAGTCATGTACTGTAAATATGGGTGCCTGTACAATTCTTGTCTGTGTTCACAAATGTCTAACACAGAGCCCCTGCTGCAGCCTCCAACTTTGGGACTTGCTACAAAAGTATGATGTTTCTGTATGATCACTCAGGAGACTCAGGAGGAAATGCTTCCTTCTGCCATACATTTGTGAAAAAGTATTATATTGCTGTACATTGTTACATATCAGGAATGTATTCATGTAGACTTGTAAAGTTATTAAATGTTTCTCTTTAACTACCGATTCACACCAGAATCACGTAGGAACGCGCACGCACTTCTTTAGCAGTGCGATTTTCAGCCCATTCATTTGAATGGGCTGAAATCACACCAGTCCACACAAAAAGTAGTGCATGTGCTACCTTTGAAAAAAGGCTCCACACCAAATTGCTTGGTATTGCAGTACCAATCAATCTGGTGCCCAAAAACACTGAATCTGCGATCTGCATTTTGGGTGCCATCAACAATGTATTGCCATCTGCAGCAGATCGCAGAGGCAGTGAGCTTTGAAGGCTGTGCGGGAAACTCACACAGAACACACCTTTCCCACACTGCATTCTGGTGTGGACTGACCCTAGGGTAAAAGAAAAAGACTAAAACAACCCATGTTACAAGCTGCCTCCCACTGCTCTTTTTTTTTGCCGCATACAGTTTGTTTAAAAAAAGAAAAACTCAATGAAAAAAAACTTTTTTTAATCTGTTTCCAAATAGTCGGACCGCAAAGCTTCAGCACCATTGCGCTAAGGCATTGTCAGCCCTGAAAGAGTTAATGTCTGCACCATCAAAAATTCTGAAGGACCCTCTGCACACTGGTATAAACCCTTTCAAGCAAACTATGCAATAAATAGGGATATTTAGTTCACACATATTGCAATACATGCTTAAGCTGGCCAACTGCGTCAAAGTAATCCCTCTATGGCCAGTCCTACTCTGCCCTGCCTACGCAAGTGCTACTGTGGACACAATGCTAGCATAGGGGAAAAGACACAATGGGGAGAGCTACAAGGTTCAGGTCTGGCTACTGACCCAACAATACAACCTGAACCTTGTAGCTCTCCCCATTGTGTCTTTTCCCCTATGCTAGCATTGTGTCCACAGCACAGCATTTGCGTAGGCACAGCAGAGTAGGACTGGCCATAGAGGGATTACTTTGACGCAGTTGGCCAGCTTAAGCATGTATTACAATATGTGTGAACTAAATATCCCTATTTGTTGCATAGTCTGCTTGAAAGGGTATATACCAGTGTGCAGAGGGTCCTTCAGAATTTCTAGTGTTATGTGGTTACACCCCTTTAGCACCTGATGGATAAATGCATGCACTAGTGTATGGATTTGAGCACAGGGATCTCTTGTTTGTTGTAATGTCTGCACCATCAGACACACCCGTAGGAGCTTTGTGGCCATGTGACCACTTGGAAGAAGTTTTATAATAAAAGCTATTTCCATTGAGATTTCTTATGGATCAAGTATAAGAGCGGTGGGGAGGCAATGTGAGTTATTTAGTCTTTGCTTCTACTTTAACAGCTTTTAACCACTTCCAGACCGGACACTTTTACCCCCTTCCTGACCAGGGCAATTTTCAGCTTTTAGCGCTATCACACTTTGAATGACAATTGCGCGGTCATGCAACACTGTACCCAAATGAATTTTTTACCATTTTTTTGAGACAGATAAAGCTTTATTTTGGTGGTATTTATTCACCACTGGGATTTGTATTTTTTTTGCTATGTAAATGAAATATCCAAAAATTTTGAAAAAAAGTGTTTTTTTTATAAAATTTTGCAAACAAATAATATTTCATCATAAATCTTAGCCAAAATTTATTCCGTTATCTTTTTAGTAAAAAAAAAATAATCCAGATTAGTTTATAAGCAAAAATTATAATTTTTAAACATTTTTTTTTACATTTTTATTTTATTTTTTTATATTATTTTTTATTTTTTTTTTTTTTTTTTTTACATACTGTCACCCTAGCAGTACAGTGTCACCATGGTGATACTGTACTACTTGTGGGGGGTGATGAAGATTTTTTTTTTTTTTACACTGATTGCTTTTACACCCATATAGGATGTAAAAGCAATCATTTCTCTTTCTCTCTGTGTGCATTCATGCAGTCATTGAGAAGTACTGAGTGAGCTGTGATTGGTCACAGCTTGTCACATGGTACAAGGCTTTTGTGAATAGCCTTGTACCATGTGACCTCTGTGATCATTCACAGATTTCACACGTAGTAAGCAATGATGTCAGAAGTGACATCTTGCTTACTACTTTGCATGTGATCACTGATTGGCCAATCAGTGATCACATGATCGGGACCTCGTACAGAGGTCCCGTCCGACGATCGGTGTTTCACTGTGTCCGGAGGACACAGCGGGCATCGGATCGCGGTGCTGCGCGCTCCCAGGGAGCGCGCACAAGCAGGGTGCGGGGAGGCCGTTTATAGACGGCAACTCGATCCTGCAGTGCCACCGTCCGGCCGTTTATATACAACGGCCGTATGGGAGGTGGTTAAGATATGATATTGGTTGCACAGGGAGGAAGGACATTGTTTTCAATGAATCTACAATCCTATTGACTTGAAGCAAGAACACAGGCACTATGTAGCACTTCAATTCAGGAAGCCGAGCCGGAGTAAATACTGTGATGAGAAAATCTGGTGACTCCTATGTACATGTATAATTAGAAATTATATAGGGAAACGTTTTAAAACATTCAACACAAATTGGTAATATTAGTATTCATTTTATCAAACTGGGGGGTGTTGGGTGATTTTCACATCATTGCATTGTTAAAGAAACTGTTAATAACAAACATTATTATTTCATAATTCTATGACACAAAACAAACCTATATACCCCATGAACTGGCTCATTTTGAAGAGAAAATCTTAAAACGGTTTACCTATCCTAAGTGTTTTTTTTTTTTTTCCTCTGAGCCGAAGTATCCATATACACTCAGTTACAACAACACACTGCAAAAAATGATAACATTCTTATGAGTGTTTTTTTTATAACTAATGTATATTCTAGTACAGCAGAACTGTGCAACATTGTTCACTGCTAAAAGATCAGCCTTTTTTTTTGGCTGAATTGATTAACCTTGCAAGCTTTTAAGAGAATTCTTTGGAGGAAAAAGTAAGAAGCAACGCATTTTTAACTTTTTTTTTTTTGCTGCAGTATCATGTGGGTTACGAAAGATGACCCCCCTCCATAAAATAGAGCACTATTTACATTTTTATCTTTTGATTTTGAATTGGGTGTAGAGTATTGTAGGGTGAAAACTGGTACTGGGTTTTTATTGCTCTCTAAACCGCTGTTGAGGAGGTTTCCTAAATAGTTTTTTTTCTAGTGACACAGCAGGACATTAGGGTAATTCATCTCAGCAGTAACACAGACAGCAATTAAAAACATGTTCAGAGAGACCCTTTTGTTTTTTAGAAAGTGGGAGGCATGAGGGAAGTAAGGATATTAGGATGTTTAGAGTGAAGAATGGTGAACACATTTTTTTTTTTTGCTGTTAAACTTTCACTAACACTTTCAAAGAAAAAAAAAGGTGCTTTTTTTCTCTAGGGGGTTTATTTACTAAAGCTGGAGAAAACCAATCAGCCACCAGGTTTGCCAAAGCTGAATTGAACACGCTGAGGTTAGAAGCTGATTGGCTACCATGCACAGCTGCAACAGATTGCACCAGTTTTAGTCAATCTATCCCTATATGTCTCCCTATTGTGGAATTCCACTTCAACTTCACTCGATTTCTCTTTCTCATGGTAACCCATAGATTAACATTGATGCCGCACAGCTGTGGGGTCCTGAAACTGCATTTCTGGAAATTCAGGAAGATTCTTGGTGGAATTCAATAAAGCTGCTGCACCACGTTTATGGTGTTAATTCCTCATTTTAATGTATTGCACCGAATTCATGGAGCAGCTGCAACACTTTTGGTTCTGACAGTGACTCATGCACCAAATTCAGGTAAAAAGAAAAAAGCAAACGCATGCATGTGCATCTGCGCTGGACAGTGGTCTCCACAGTGTCAATATCCCCACATGTGTAAGAAAGGAATGCAAGCCTTGCTGCCTGCAATGGACCAGGGAAATCCAAACAGAACTGTATATAGGAAGCAAAAAGAGGGCACACGCCTAGTGCATTACCTTTAAAAATGTGATTTATTTATAAATAGTAAAATACTCACAATAGAAATAAAATCAAATGGAAAGCATGTCACAAAGGATGAAATGTGGTCCAAAAACCCCTGAAGGTGGTCTGGTGGGGGACTGTAGACCTCTAGATAGCTGGTGGCTGACCCATTTCAAGGTTGTACCTCTTCAGAGCCCACATTCAGGTAGTCCTAAAATGCACTACTTTTACGTTATGATAAATTGAATGCGACAATATTGCATTCAAAAAATGGCACAGCATGCGCCAAATTCCAGTACAAGTCCTAGACAGGTACATGAATTTGGTGCCTGCTTCATCACTTTTAGAACACATAGTTACATAGTTGGTAAGGTTGAATAAAGACACCAGTCCATCCAGTTCAACCTGCGTTGGTGTGCGTATGTGTGTGTTGAATTCAATATCACTTCCCATATCCCTGTATATTGCATTCACTAAGATGCTTATCTAAGAAGTTTTTAAAACTATTGATACTTCCTGCAGACACCACTGCTTGTGGAAGGGAGTTCCACATCCTTACTGTTCTAACAGTAAAGAATCCCCTGAGCAGTTTGAGGGTAAACTGCATCTCCTTCAATTTCATGGAGTGGCCACGTGTCTTCTTAGGCTCCCTGAAGCTGAATAGCATTCTTCCTATGCTGGGATCACTGTTGAGATATTTGTATATCGCTATCATATTTCCTCTGAAGCGTCTCTTTTTTAGGGAGAATAAATTTAGTGTTTGTAGTCGTTCCTCGTAACTGAGGTCCTCCAGTCCCCTTATTAGCCTTTTTGCCCTTCTATGGACTCTCTCCAGTTCCAGGACATCCTTCCTAATGATTGGTAAACCAGAACTGTATGGCATACTCAAGATGTGTCTTGAAGAGTCTTGTAAAGTGGTAGAATTGTAGTCTTATCTCTTGAGTAAATCCCCTTTTTTTTTGCATGCTAATATTCTGCTGGCTTTGCTTGCTGCGACTTGGCATTGCATGTTATTGCTGAGCCTATGATCTACTAAGATCTCCAGATCTTTTTCCATCCTTGAATCCTCCAATCGCTCTCTAAGTGGGTAATTTTCATTCATATTTATAGCCCCCAAGCACATTACTTTACATTTTTCTATGTTAAACCTCATTTGCCATGTATTGACTCACCCCATTATTTTACTGAGGTCTTCTTGTAATATTTATATATCTTGCTGTGAAGTTATTGCCCTGCTTAGCTTTGTATCATCAGCAAACATTGAGATTGAGCCATTTATGAGAAACACATGAGAGACAATTTCCTCAAATCTGGCTATGCCAGCCTTTTTGAATTCCAGGGTCTTCATTTTCCCCATATCTGCTGGGCTTTTTACCGAATGCTCCTGCCCCCCCCCCCCCCCGCCGAATTTCAGTAATTCAATATAAATACCTCTGTTATTCACAGCAGCCAAAATAACATGGCTTGCTTTCTTCAGATTTGGACCAGGTGCCACTTTTGCAAAATACACTACCACATACCAACATATTGTGAACCCTATTCATTAGCCTTCTAAGCTGGACCCACCACCAGACACCGATTGACTATGGTTAGCATACCCAGTTTGCAGCTCTCAGTCCCAAGCTATATGCTAACATGCAGACGAGCAGAAGACTGTTACTTAATTCCTCTACAGATAATCACAGATATACATACTTAAGGCAAAGTCATCTCCACCACACCAAGAGTCTTCCGTCTCACACACCCTCCACTAACCCCAACTGCATCCATCTCCCTTGCATCTCTCTCACCAAATCTACTCACTCCTACTGTCCCACATAGATACCCATATTCTTAGAAAATCCCTGTACCACCCCTCCTTTTTCCACATATCCCACACCTTTTTCCTCCACTGATTTCACATCCTCAAGCTTCATCAAAACCCAGACCTCACATAGCAGACATTCAGCTTACACCACATATTTCCACTAGGTGAGCCTCATCAGGATTATGGGAGGCGGGTGGTAGAGTGGACACATTGGGGGAGATTTACCAAAACTGGAACGTGCAAAACTGGTGCAAATTTGCATAGAAACCAATCAGCGTCCAGGTTTTATTGTTAAAGCTTAATTGAACAAGCTGAAGTTAGAAGCTGATTGGCAACCATGCACAGCTGCACCAGATTTCGAGTGCTCCAGTTTTAGCAAATCTTCCCCATTATTTCTTGCCTCCATCTCAGCCTGGCAAAGGCATTGTCCTTTGATAGAAAACTTAATGTTAATCAAAAAGTCAACCTCTGATTGTTTTAAATTACCTTTGGGATGAGAAAGCCATTTTCCCTATATTATGAAAAAAAATTCCTTTCATCCACATTAAAATAGTTCACTAATATTTCCTTAGTTGAGTTCTTTATAATCTACTTCATCCAAAGCATACACATATGACCTCACAGGGTCAGTAGGAGTGTACTTTCTTTGTATCTTCCCCCACTCTCTGCTTCCTGCATCACAAATTACTTTCAAATATACAGGGTGTAACTGAATCCGATCTTTGTACTTACAATCTCATACATCAAGCATTCAGTACTTCACATACATCAGGCATTCTCTATGTGAAAGGCAGCAAGGATAGTGTTCCAGAATCACAGGCTGGTTTGCTAGATTAAAGACAAAAGATAGTAGAAGTGGAGTAGACTGAAATACTAAGCAGGCTTCCCTTCCTATTGATTGTTATGCAAAACCACCCTAAGTTTTTTTCTAGTTTTATAATGGGCAGCACAGTGCCTTAGTGGTTAACACGTCTGCCTTGCAGCACTGGGGTCCTCAGTTAGAAACCTTGGCAGGATGCTATCTACATAGAGTGTGCATGTCCTTCCTGTGCTTGCATGGGTTTCCTCCCACACTCCAAAAACATGCTGGCATGTTAATTGCCTCCTGTCTAAATTGGCCCTGTATATGTGCATGTGTATGTATTAGGATCTTCGACTGTAAGCAGGGATTGATGTTAATATACAGTATGTAAAGCAGTGGGTAAATTGTTGGCACTATATACAGTACATGCCTGTAAAAAAATAAATGAATATAAATTATATACTACAACATTAATGAAAATAATTAAAACAATGCCACATAACAAAAACTACATGAGCACTGACACACATTTATAAACCTCTACAGCAATAATTAACTCCTTATACTGTAATTGCATTTATAATTATCCCAAGAAAATGTCCATACAACAGTAATGCTTAATTATTCAAGACCTTTTGCCTGCAGTCAGAAAATCTTCTCTCATAAACTGATAATACTGTTCATGTGAGGTGCATAGCAATACTAGTATTTAGATTTCAATCTGTCTTTTATTATTATTATTATACAGGATTTATATAGCGCCAACAGTTTGCTCAGCACTTTATAATATATAGGGAGACAATACAGCAACAATACAGTTCTATACAAGAGGGTTAGGAGGGCCCTGCTCCTTGGAGCTTACAATCTAAGAGGGAGGGGCTGGTAGTACAAAAGGTGGGATGAACTGATAGGAGGAATAGAAGATTCCAGTATTAGCTGAGGGCAGGATAGGCTTCCCTGAAGAGATAGGTTTTCAGATATCGCCTAAAAGTGGGCAGAGTGGCCAATATTTGGATAGATTGGGGTAGAGAGTTCCAGAGGATGGGGGAGGCTCTGGGACAGTCCTGGAGATGAGCATGAGAGGAGGAGACAATGGAGCTAGAGAGCAGGAGGTCGTGGGAGGAGCGTAGAGGACGGTTTGGGTGATATTTGGAGACAAGTTTGGTGATGTAATTTGGGGCAGAGTTATAAATGGCTTTATACATTATTGTTAATGTTTGGAATTTTATTCGTTGGGCAATGGGAAGCCAATGGAGGGATTGGCAGAGAGGGATGGCAGGTATGGAATGGTTGGTAAGGTGCATGAGTCTGGAATCAGCATTTGTGATAGACTGAAGAGGGGATAGCCTACGATTAGTTAGGCCAATGAGGAGGGAGTTACAATAGTCAGGGTGAGAGATAACAAGGGAGTGAATAAGTTGCTTAGTGGTTTCAGAGGTTAAGAACGGGCGGAGGTGAAGTCTACAAGATTTGGACAGTGATTGGATTTGCGGCTGAAAGGACAGATGGGAGTCCAGGATTACACCTAGCACCCTGGCATGAGGGGAGGGGGCACGGGCTGGAAGGAATAGCATGAGCTCTGTTTTGGAAAGATTTAGTTTGAGGAAGCGGAGTGACATCCATGCTGATATGTCACTTAGTAGGTTAGTAATGCGAGAGGAGACTGAAGGGGTGAGGTGAGGAGTAGAAAGATAGATTTGTGTGTCATCAGCATAGAGATGGTACTTAAAGCCATGGAAGTTTATCAAGTGACCAAGGGAGGAGGTGTAGATGGAGAAGAGAAGGGGTCCAAGGAGAGAACCTTGAGGGACACTTACAAAAAAAGGAAGTGGAGAGGAGGAGACAGAGTTATATGTAACGCTGAAGGAGGGCTTCGATAGGTAGGAGGAGAAGCAGGAGAGAGCAGAGTCTCCAGCAAACACCCTGGGAAACATCTCCTACAAGTTTATTTTATTAGATTCCCACTCCATCTACCTTTTAAAATGCCTCCTCTACCTCCTTTTCATATTACTATCCTCTGCTCTCAAAATCTCCTTTCTTTACCCCTCTGCTCCACCCCAAAACCTATACATATCACCGTCTACCATCTCCCTACTACTGCTCTCATCACCTTCTGCTAATACTTTACTCACCTGCTGACCCGAACACCAGGACAGGAAGGCATGTGCACTCATATACATCCCACTCTCATCTTACTTTCCTCACCATCTTTCTTCTCCTAACCTCTGGGGATATCTCCCTGAACTCTGGTCCTCCAGTATCTCACCCCCACATCAGGCACCCTCCTTCCTCCGGGAATAGCAGCTATCCACTCAATTTAATCTCAATCCCCATGCTCCTAAAAACCACCCTCCCTTTTTCATGTGCACTCTGGAATGCCTACTCTGTCTGTAATAAGCTCACCTCTGTCCATGACCTTTTTGTCTCCCACTCCCTTAACCTACTAGCAATTACAGAAACCTGGCTTCAAGCAGCAGATTCTGCTTCCCCTGCAGCACTTTCCTATGGAAGCCTCCTCTGGACCCACTCACCCAGACCCAGTGGTCGGAAAGGTGGTGGAGATGGTTTGCTTCTATCCCCACTGAGCACCTTTCAAGTCCTCCCTAACCCTCCCTCTCTATCCTTCTCTTTACATATATACTATATTGCCAAAAGTATTGGACGCCTGCCTTACACACACATGAACTTTAATGGTATCCCATTCTTAGTCCATAGGGTTCAATATTGAGTTGGCCCACCCTTTGCAGTAATGACAGCTTCAACTCTTTTCTTCCAGACATAAAGAGACACATAGGAAAACATTAGGGTGAGTTCAGAGGCTGCTGAAAAAAACGCTGAACAGCTCCTAAATACGAGTTTATCATCTGCAGTGTACATGAGCCCTAACTGTAGATTACAAGTAGCACTTGGAATGACCAAGTGCTTTAAGTGGAGTGATCATACCATAGATACAAGTGTTATTTTAGTATTATATGTCCAGATTGGGATTAACCACTTGAATTTAAGAAGGTTTTATCCCCTTCGTGACCAGGGCATTTTTTTCTATTTAGCACTGCACTATTTTAACTTGTAGTTGCATGGTCATGCAAAGTTGTGCCCATATGAAATCTCTATTATATTTTTCACACAAATAGAACTTTCTTTTGTTTATTTTTGATCACCACTAATTTTTTTTATATTTTTGTTATTATATAATCAAAAAAGACAGAACATTTTGAAAAAAAAAACAATATTTTTTACTTTCTGTTACAATATATTTTTTATGCCAATAATGGCAATGATCAGTGACTTTTAGTGGGACTGTGATAGTGCAGATGGCAATCTAACACTAACGGACACTGGGTGGCAGATAGACTAACTAACTCTGATATCACCAATGACAATAATACAGTGATCAGTGATAATACTATACACTCTCACTGTACTAATGACACTGGCTGGGAAGGGGTTATCGTCTTGGGGTAATGAAGAGCTTAACTGTGTGCCTAACAAGTGTTAATGTGTGAAATATGTGCAGCTTTCTAATAAAAATCTGTTTGTTCCTTCTCTTTTACCTATTGTGGGTACTGGGCCCTTAACCACTTGCCTACAGGGCACTTATACCCCCTTTGTGCCCAGGCCAATTTTAAGCTATCAGCACTATCGCACTTTGAATGACAATAGTGCGGTCAGGCAAACATTGTACCCATATGAAATTTTTATCTTTTTTTTTCATACAAATAGAGCTTTCTTTTTGTGGTATTTAATCACCATTGGGTGTTTTATTTTTTGCGTTATAAACAAAAAAAAAGCAAAATGTTTTGCAAACAAGTAATTTTTTTCCTTCACTGATGTGCATTGATGAGGCTACACTGATTGGCAGCACTGATGGGTGGCACTGACTGGTGGCATGGCTGGGCACTTAGTGGCAGCACTCCTGGGCACTGATGGGTGGCACTGCTGGGCAGCACTGATGGGTGGGTGCTCCTGGGGTGGGCACTGCTGGGTGACATTGCTGGGCACAGGTGGGTGGCACTGATGGACACAGGAGGGTGGCACTGATGGGCACTTGTGGGCGGCACAGGTGGGTGGCACTGGTCATCAGGGCCGATCTGTTTCTAACAATTGCCTGTTATCGACAGTATTTTCCCTCACTCTGTGACAGCGTGAGGAAATTGCAGCCAATAACCAGCAACTGCATTTACCCGGTGATCTGCTGTGTCATTGGACACAGCTGATCACATGGTAAAAAGCTGCTGTGATTGGCCTTTTACCCCACCATGTGATCAGCTGTGTCTGTAGGATACAGCAATCACAGAGATCGCTGGGGGCATGCCGCTGGGGGGCACGCAGGAGGGCGCATTCTGGGAGGACGTCATACAATGCCCTACCACTGGACAACCGCGCTGTAGCTTTCATGCGGCTATAGCGCGGTTGGCAAGTGGTTAAAGGCTTTTAACTGTTTTTAAGAACATGCTTTGATGAAATTGAAATAAAATTTGTCTGCTTTCATACATTCACACAGTTATTGATTAGATGTAAATGAGTCTTGCCGGTATTACTGTAGTCTCTGGTCACACCGCTGTGATTTAAAATCGTGTGATTTGTGTGCAATTTCAGCGTGATTTCAGGTGCGATTTCTGAAGACTTTATTGCTACTTGTGAAGATTTTCAACGATTTCTTGCAATTTGCAGTGAGATTTCCATTATATTTTATGCATGTGAAAACCCAACAAAACTGCAGAAAAAGTAATGCAAGAACTACTTTAGAAATCGCTCTGCAGCAAACAGCAACTTTTAAGACACTGACATTCACAATCATTAGATGCGCTTTCAATTTGCAAATCACACCTGAAATCGCACCAGTATGACTGGGCACTTAAAGACTAAAATTGTTATACATAAAAGTAATATTTGTCCAGTTATTGGAAGCTTATCTTAAGACATGGATGAAGGTAGTCACCTGGAAAGAACACAACTTATTTTCTGTACAGAAATCTGTTAGAGCATACAGTTTGGCTATACGCGAAGAACTATCTATGAATTGGCCAGAGCTTCTTATCTTTCTCAGACTAGACTGGTATGTCGCCTTTATGCTCAGCTCAATGCTTCTTGCTTTCTAAGCAGCTTTGACATTCTAGAGAAAAGAAGCTTTTGAAAGTGATCTCCCTACCTCCTCCTTGTGCAGTCATGACACTGACATTTGGAGAGAAGCTCTCTCCTTTCTGATCTAATGTCAGACATACACTTTCTCTTCATCTCCTATTTCACATGTCCTCATTAACTGCGCAGCACAATTCCCTATGATCATGTTGCGTGAGCATACACAAGTCTATTGTCCATTATTAAATGCACATTTTATTTGTATTTTATATTTATATGTTTGACCATGCTAACAAACACAGCTTATGATTGTTTATGAGTTGCATAACATTTCACAACATTCCACGTACTGTATGTTTGCTGCATTTGTTGCAATATCAGCGAGCAAGACGTGTTTCTTTTTTTTTATTTATTTGAATACATTATTTATGACCACTTTTTTTCAATGGGAGAAAAAAATCAATTATTTACAGGACTTTAAGAATTGGAAATGCTGAGTTATGATGAAACAACTTTCATTCTGTGCTGAAACACAATATAACGGGTTACTATAGCAACCAGTCCTGTGGTTAAAAGAGACTATGCCAGAAATGAAAAGAAAAAAGGAAGATTAATATGCTTATGCTATATGTGCGCTTTTGGGGGATTTCTACAATGATACCTAGTCTGACCTTTATTTTCATTTTTCACGTCCCTTGAACTAAACCTATTTTAAAATTAAAATGGTTATAAGCGCAGGGCTCAAAATTGTAGTTTTACACTAACTTTCTGATCTGCAATAGTTACCTTATGTACTGCAAAATAATAATGTAATTGGGGGCTTTTTTGCCAAAATGTTGCTGAGTATCACCTGTCCTTTTGAGAGCAGGAGGAGCTATTATACCTGGTGCTGTATATTCTCTTCGTAGGTACTGTGGGAACTCGCTTCAAATGGTAGAGCTTGGTTAAACGCACACAGCAACTCGCTTTCTTTTTAAGGCGTTTTTAGCCCACTTTTATTTAAAGAAAATGTTCCACTACGCAGGGGCATCCACCATCAATATGAACAAAATTCAGCCTCCTGGCTCTCTCAGATATACACAATCTTCCACTGGCCTTCCTCTTCAGGCTTACGTCTGTCTCCTGCAGACTCTTTCAAAAATATGGCTCTCGCATACAGCCAGCCACTAGCACACATCTACTCCCGAGCAGCCCCTTGCTGCTTTTGGCTTCCACCTCTCCTAGGTGAAGCCCACCTGACTTCAAGGCAGTGACGTCCTGCCTGCCGGGGTGGAGCCCTCCTGACTCCTGTCTGCTGAGGTGGAGCCCAGATTCCCGGTCCTGACTCTATGAAAAGGCCTGCACACACCTGTGCAATCAGTATCCTGGCCATTTCCAAAACCTGGTCCCAGGATTGGAGATTTCATCCCTCCCAGATCTCTTTGAAATCTCCAGGCTCCAGATCCCAAAATGGACCTTACAAACAAAGGAGGAAAGGGAAAAGTCACTTTCCTTCGTATCAAACACTTACCCTGGAGCCCCTCAACCTGACTTGTTGAGAATCCTGGGTGACAGATTGCCACACTGTTACAGTACCCAGCTCTATTCATTATTTTGCAATACTTACTGCAATTGTTTCATATTGGTTTTAATTCAAAGTAGCGTGAAGAAAAATTAAGGCCTTGTTTACACAGGCGTATAAAAATAAGCAGAATTTTTTAATGCCAGAATTTGTCAGAAAAAAAAACTCCTCTAATGTTACAATATACATATGCGTATTCATGATTGTATGGCGCTTGAGAGTAAATGTGTTCTACTTGCCAGAATATTAATTTATTGCTATTTGTTTATTTCTGCCTGTAAATATTTTCAAATACTCCTACTCCTAGGCCTAAAACTTTTGTCATGCTTGTTATTTATGTCTGAGACTCCCTATTGGTATGATTTCCCTTTGTTTCCTATTCCTGTAAGAACAACAACTCAATAAATGGGGGGGGGGGGGGGTGGGGCTTTCACTGGGATGAGAAGCCTGGAATTTACACCAGCTTTTTTGCTTGATATGTTTTTCATTGAAGTCAATGGACATGCATCAAAATGCATGAGAAAGCATGGACAAGAGGACTGGACTCACAGCTTTGCTTTTTTGGTTGATGTGTTCTCTGTTGAAACCAATGGAAATGCACCAAAATGCATGAGAAAGCATGCACGTGAACACATCTTGGTGTGTCAGTATGTGTTGGTCTTCAATACAAAGTGCAATGCAACATACGTTTTGATGCTCTTTCTTTGGTTTTAATGTAGTAACAATGCTGATGCATTTTCCATCTAACAATATACACTCACCAGCCACTTTATTAGGTACACCTGTTCAATTGCTTGGTAACACAAATTGCTGATCACATGGCAGCAACTCAATGCATTTAGGCATGTAGACGTTGTAAAAACGACTTGCTGAACTTCAAACCGAGCATCAGAATGAGCAAGAAAGGGGATTTAAGTTACTTTGAATATGGCATGGTTGTTGGGGCCAGACTGGCTGGTCGAGTATTTTAAAAAACAGCTGATCTTCTGGGATTTTCATGCACAACCATCTCTAGAGCAGCAGTTGTGTGGATGAAAATGCCTTGTTGATATCAGGGGTCAGAGGAGAATGGACAGACTGGTTGCTGCGACATTCTGATGATAGGATCAGAATTTGTTGTAAACATCATGAAAGCATGGATCCACCCTGCCTTGTATCAATGGGTTAGGCTGGTGATGGTTTAATGGTGTGGGGGATATTTTCTTGGCACTACCATGATGTACCTAATAAAGTGGCGGTGAGTGTAAGTGAATTTCTTTGTAGTAGGTCAGCATTAGTTCCTTTTATGAAAAAAAACAAACAGTCCTTCTGGTTCCCTTAAGACTGAAATCTGCAATCTCAAAACACTCATTTTGTCTAGGTGGGTTCCTACCTTAGTTCTTTCTCCTGCAGGCTTTCTCCTATCCATATGTCCAGTCCCCTGAAGCCACTTTTCTTTGCTACTTGACCAGTTGCATCTCAGTCCTTTAGTGCATGAGGACTCAGAGAGCCTGCCCATGTTGTGGGAGCGTGTTGAGCACAGAAGAGCACCAGATATTTGGGAAGTAAGGAATAAGGTAAGTATTATGCTTATTCTAATACACTTAGACAAGATGAGCATTCAACATTTTTAGTTTGATTAAGGCCTGCTGCAAGGTGAAATTTTAGAGATACCCAGAGTTCAGCTTTGAGATACACTTCCACATCATGTGACATGCGTTACAATGCCATTCAATTATAGTGGCTCCCCAAATGGCTTTGGAATCAGTACCTGTCTCCTCCCTTTTAGCCTCACATAGGCTATTGCAATTATTTGTCCTTCACTCGGCGTACCAGACGCCTGCTAGATTGTTTGAATGGGGTAGGAGAGATATGCCATTATGCCCTAAATGTACTGCACACAAAGGAGACTTTATCCACATGATTTGGAGATACCCGAAACTAGCAATATATTGGGAGGAAGCTCTGTGTATCTTCTCTCGCCCACATTCCCATTCCTTCAGACCCACTAGTGTGTCTCTTAAGAGCGCTAGATCCTGAATTATATCCCCCGGGTACATATATAATGGTTATTCATCTCATATCTGGCGAGAAAACTAATGGCTAGATATTGGTTGTCTAGTACGATGCCTACCAAGAAACGATGGGTGTAATATGTTGATTCTCTACTTTTACGGGAACAACTTACCTACAGTCATCGTAACACTTTACGTAAATTCGAGCTTATTAGGCAGAGCTGGTTAGATACGCCCGGACTGGCCCCTTCAAGGTTGATAATGAATAGGCTTTTGCAAATGTGAGGCTAACTCATTGCTAAGCTAAGGCTTGGGTACCCACCTGCAGTTGTTGTTGTTGTCCTTTTCCTTTCTATTTTTTATGTTTTTAAAAAACAAAAATCTCTTTTTCTTTCTTTTGTTTTGTTTTTTTTCCTTTTACTTTGTAAGATGTCGATTGTTACGGCATTGGTTATCCCTAGCAATATGGACTCTCATATGTTTGTCCTGACTATGATTTGTTTATGTATGTGATGTATAACACCACATGTATTTCTTTGACTGATTGTTCCTTGCCCTTGTATTTGGTTATATACTCCTTTTTTAATAAATAAAAAGTTTGGATTAAAAAAAAAATGATAGTGGCTCCCCAAGCACTAAGGCAATACTCCTGCATTGTAGCGAGTTGCAATTCACCACCCTGCATTACATTAGAAAATAAGGGTCCTGAGTAATCCTAAGCATGTTATTTATGTCATTTTTAACGCAATACACATTAACACAGTTAACATACATGTATTGATGAACCACAAAAATGTAAATGGGCCCCAGAGGAGACATTGACACAAAATTAATCCAAGTGATTTTCGTTAAAAAAAAAAAAAATAAAAAAACTGTGAGTGCTATCATATATCTGCTGTAATTTTTTAGAGCACAAGCAATGGTATAGGGAAAATCTATATTTAGCTTTTAGTTAAAGTGACGATGGTTATACATGTAAATATCTTCGTTAGTTAATATGAACTTATCTACTGTGCATCGATTGGTTTGAAGAAAAAATGATCTCTTTAATCAAAATTATTGTGATCAGTCTGGATATAAAAGCCTATCATAGGAAAGTAGATAATTTAATATGATTGTTAAGGGACTGATGAATTGAATTATCTTTTTGATCCTCTGAGGGCATTTCCAATTGAGCAATAAATATACAGTATTGAAAATACGATTTTGTTTATTAAAGTTTTATTATGGAGTATGGTATGATGACAGTATTAACATATAAGGATAATAGCATAATCAAAATATATCCACCAAAAGATAAAAATATCAATAAACAATCGCAGCATTCAATAATAACACAGCACAAAAAAATACCAAAGCTAAGATACTTTAGCAAATATATTTACTATCAAAGCCAACCCCTTTTTTTATTCTTTTTTTTCTTTAAATAACAAAACAGAAAATAAAAACAAAATAAGAAGGGGAAGCATCCGGCTGGGGAAGAGGGGTGTCGACCACTCATAAATCCAGCTATGAGATTGTTTTATTTTATAATCTCAAGATTGACAATTTTCAGAGTCAGAAAACTCAATCCACATAGTCCATACTTCCCTAAACTTAGAGTAGCTTTGTTTACCACAGCTGACAACTGCTCCATTCACATAATATAATACATTTTACACTACCCATTCCCATATTGTAGGGATTGTGAAAGAGTTCCAGTGCCTAGGGAATGCCTTGCCTGCTATCAGCAGAAATTGAAATGTCCCCTTTTTAATAGATTTAATTGATCCAGGGATAATGGAAAGGAGAGCAACTTCTGGGGTCTCCGGCCATGCCCTGCCTGTATTAAGATGACTAACCTGGAATATAGCTTACCAAAATGGTTTTATTCTGGGGCAGGACCACCATACATGAAGTTTCATTCCACCTGACTCTCCACGTCTCCAGCATTGATCCAGTAAAGACGGAATAATCTTATGTAGTGTGGCCAGACAACGATACCATCTGGCTTGAAGTTTGAAATTCTGTTCCTGTGCTTGGGAAGCTGAGGATAATTTAAATATGAGAAGAAATGCTTTATTCCAATCCTCGTGAGACGATCTGTTGCCTAGTTCTCACTCTCAGTCTCAGATCTAAAAAAGATGTTCAGGATAGGCATAGGACAAGAGGACATTGTACATTTTAGAGGGGACATGTGAGCAATCTGAATCAGAAAGGCTTAACTCTTTGAGCAGTGTCAAGTCCCCATGGAGCAGCTTCAAATGCTTTCTATGGTTGTGTATAAAATTGTTCCATATATGGCCACCATTAAACCTGGGAGTTATTCACAGTTCAGCTGTTTCAATAAAAGGGTTTTAAGAAAAACCCATTGAAGGTTAAAGTGGTTGTAAAGGTTCAAGGTTTCTTACCTTCATTCATTATATGCATAAAGGTAAAAAAAATACTTCTTTGTGCAGCAGCCCCCCTAAAACTTACCTGAGCACGATCCCAATCCAACAATGTGCACGAGAGCCTTGGTTCTCCAGGGACTTTTCTTCCTCATTGGCTGAGACAGCAGCTGTAGCCATTGGCTCCTGCTATTATTAATCACAGCTAGTGAACCAATGAGGAGAGAGGGGGACGGAGGCGAGACACTGCTCCATGTGTGAATAGACACACAGAGCAACATCTCGGGAGCAAGTCTGCTTGGGTGCCCCCATAGCAAGATGCTTGCTATGGGGGCACTAGGCAGGAGGGAGAAGACAGAAGCGTCAGTGGGGGACCTGAAAAGAGGAGGATCGGGGCTGCTATTTGCAAAACTATTACACAGAGCAGGTAAGTATGACATATTTGGGGTTTTTTTTTTTGGGGGGGGGGTTTAACAACAAAAAATCTGCCTCTAATATCACTTTACAGCTGAATTTTAAAAGGAAACCTGTAAGAAAATATGGCCTACATTGACCAGGCAGCTGGATCCTGAATGCCCTGTCCTCTTCCTGGATCGGAACTTCTGGCACTGCAATGGTTAGCATGCACTATCCTTCCTCCTCATCCACTGAGAAAAGTTCTTTCATTGATTACACTGCTTGTGACTCGATCAGTGAATGGGGGTGTGTCTGCTAAGTAACAGAATTATCTCCCCCATTTACAAATTATGTTAAAAACAGTGTATGCAATAAAATCACTTTTCTCAATCCCAGTCAGACCATCTG